GATAGTACATATGAAAACTGAGATAAAAGTTACTTTACAAATGCATCTTAAAAACGCTCAAATTTTGCATTTTGCCTGAGTATGTGTGGGATGCAGTCGGTATCCTGGGGGTCACCCTGCGATGAGCTAGCATCCTATCCAGGAATAGGAATACTCTTAGGTAGAAGGTAGAGAAAGGAGGGGGGGGGAATAGGAAGAGGGAAGGAAAAAGTGAAGAAAAACTCTGGTGACTCTGGTGCAGCTTGAGCATATAACTGGAATAAGTTACCTGACGAGAAGGCAGGTGAAAAGATGAAGGTTCCCTTTAGATTGTCGATAAATATTACTTGACGAGTAAAATAAAGTTAATGAGTTAATTCATTACTTGTTGACATCCGCCAACAGCTCGTTTATTGGTCCCTCGTTCTTTGAACGAATTTCTTGAATCAGTATGATATCATACCTCAAAACCACCTGCAAAAAACATCAAACGTCAACGAAAGATTCATATATATATATATATTTACGCTCATCAAAAGCGAACGAGGTGATGGAGAAGAAATTCTCCTGGCGTTGGCTGGATGTGGAAGTTCCACTTCAGTGATCTTCTGTTCTCGAGGCGAGCGGAAGTCTATTTACACAGACGTCTGTGGAAGTCCTAAATGTAAGAACTGTCCTAAATGTAATAACTGTCTTAAATGTAATAACATTTGGTCCTAAATGTGATAAGCCTGTTGCACCAAGGAATCCTCTTTAACATCTCAATATGGATGTCCGGTATAACAACAATGCACTGGCGGAGTTAAACGATTGCATTGGAGGATTATTACATTTAAGACTAAATGTTACTACATTTAGGACTTTACTACATTTAGGACCAAATGTTATTACACTTAGGACAAATCTTACATCGGATCAATATCAGTATCTGGGCAACTGCCCACCTACCCCTTCCCTAACTCAACAACAATCAATTGATAACAAGTTAGGGTTAATGTTGGGTTAGGGGAGGGGTAGGTGGGCAGTTGCCCAGATACTGATATTGATCCTCTAGGTCTTCAACAGACGTCCGCACAGTGAACATAGGATCGAGGCACCCTTTAGGTGAACGTCTCAGGAAACAGACATCGGCTCAAGATATTAAGTACAGTCGAGCTCTTTTTCACTAATAGTGAAAAATACCTTGACTAATATGTCTCTGACCAAATGATTTGCCATTTTTCTGTACCCAAATATTTGGACGTTAAATGTTGCAATCTTCAGAGCTGCTCCTTCAATCGTGTCAACTGGAGATGTTTCACTAGAGCATAGACATAACAAAAAGGAGAAATGAGCATTTTTATTATTTCATTAATTTCGTGCATATAATCAAAAATTACGTCTGGCCCTTTGAGGAGTAAAAAATCAGAATATTTTGGCCAAACTAGTCGGAGCTCAGGTTCTTTTCATGATCTTGGGTTAAACCATTTGAAATACGGGGAGTGAGTGTTCAGTAAAGGATTTTATTATGATGCAAAAAATTGCGCTGTAAACAAATCAAGAATGACTTTCTTTATTTTTGAGTGCAGGCAAAGAAAGCTGGTTTTTGTAGCACAGTTAACTCAGGAACTCGTTTAATGTTTCCTTTATTTTGAGTGTGTTCTGTTACTTTTGCGACTCCCTTGCTGTCATCCGAAAATTGCGAACTCTGTAAGTAGACTGCAAGCGCGCGGAATCGAAGCGGGCAATCACGAGTAGGCAAGATTGGGCCCATCTTGCCCGTTTGGTGAGCCAGTCAGAACACAGGATTCGCTTCATCTTGCCCACGGGCGCAGTCAGCCACATAAATTAAAGTTGCATATGCAGAAAGCTTAATTGTAAAACAATATACATACTCATTGCACACTCACCATAACTCTGCATAAAATCCGATGGCCATAAGGCAAGATATTAACCAAAGTAGTTTGCCCATTCTTGCAGATTTAGTAGCAACACTCCTTTCTAACGATCTGGCAATATACAAATACAGGTTTATACTTCAGGCGAAGTGAAGTATATCAACAAGCTGAGAAGGGCGTAACTGTAATGTGAACTGACCAGAAACACGTAGGATATGAAGCCTTTTTGTCCGTCTCCTTTCAACCGGAAATTAAAGCTACGGCGAACGTCCTCTTCTGTCGAAGTTTCAATGGCTCTCTTAAGGCGAGGGAAGCAAAATATATTTCTAAATATCTGAGTTTAAGAGCACGCGATTTCAATCTTGCAGCAAAGGTTTAGCGGGCGGCTTGATCGTCTGGGTGAGAATGTAATTCTTCTTATTTTTACTTACGTCCGAACGATCAGGCTTGAGAATTAATATCTGGATTATTCTGCAAACTACCTCCTACAAAAATTACAGCAAAACGCTTGTTACATCTTACAGTCCAATTGTATGCAAAGAGTGGAGGAGCCTTGAACACGCTAGGAGTCAACTCAACGCCCTCAACCGCGACTGGTATTCAAATACACGGACATTAGTATAACGAATTGGTTATTCATGGTGCGCGTATTACAAGAGCCGTTGTTCAAAACAAGCGCAAAACCATCTACACACCGAAAAGAAGACAGGATTTCAATAATTTTCGACTATGGACATTCATATGCTCCACACAAGAACAGTTTTACTCATTGCAACTGCGCGCAAACAGAGTAACGATGTAAACTGTGTGGAAGAATTCATTCATGAGTACTTATCCCGACTCGACCAACACCAATACCGCAACCGACAAAGAGATAATTCAGTTATATACTGCTACACATTTTCCGCACTTTTGTGGCAATTTCGAGAATGGTTTTTCGAAAGAGACCATGAAAGTTCGTGACTTAAGGGTTTCCACGGTAAATTCAATTGATTTTAATTCCTACCTTGCGCAGTCGGAATCAGAAGGATTTCGGTCCTATAAATAGAGGAAGAAGACTTCTAGTTTCTCATTTTAATACTTACCTCTGATATCTGTGGCACTGATGTGATATAACCGCCCTGATCACGTACAGATTTATGATAATAAACTTTTTGAAAAGGGAGTGACCTTTGTTAAATTGCTGCTCACAAAGGAATCTATCATTTTGAGTCTGCTTGGTATCCTAACCACTGGAATATGTGATTAAAACATGTCTGGGCTAGACAGTCATTTTCAAAGTGAATTAACAGCTAGGTTTAACTGAGATTTCTCCAAGGAATGTTACAATGAGATAAAAAATGTGAAAAGAGGTTTGAAGTTTTAGAAGAAAACATGTTTCCTTCGGTTAGATGACCGAATGATATATGTAAATTATAAAACATGCACAAAGTTTCGAGTAAACTTGATCAGGATTCAGTCTGCGGCAAAAACAAAGCGTTGTGTGTGCATTGTTTAAAACACGACTATGTTCAAACTTAAAAATAGAACTACGATGATACGTTGGTACCACAAGTCTGCTGCAAAAAATTGAGAGCAATATCTGATAACAAGGAAACTGAGAATAATACTCACATGCAGCGTGGCTTGTGGCAACGACTTGTGATGTACACTGTTTCTGTGAAAATGGCCTAACTGCCAGAAAGTATTCGTAATATGCTTAAGCAAATAAAAGCCTTGGGCTATTTTCGATTGACTGTATGTAAGTGGACACAGCTTCAATCAACCCATAAATGGGCTGGAAACAATTTTGTGGATTAAAAGCAGCATACGGTTTACTTTCATATACATATCAGAGGTCATTCACACACCTCAGCTTGTAATTGCTCTGAATAACTAGAATCGTGGCTGAATAACCTTTTTTTTGGTTCTGAAATGTATTGGCAACTTCTACCTTAAGGTGCTCAATCTCTTGAAAAGTAAGAAATCACATTTTACGATAGCAAACCACTCGATTTAATGACTAAAATTAATTATTTCCTTGGTAAACAGCAAAAGTTAATAGAGCGTTAAAACATGCTAGAGACATGTTGTCAATCAAGTTTTAACCTCCATGTCATGAAAACTGCATATTTTTTTGGAAGTCAGAGGGAATCTTAATGAACAAATTTCATGGAGACATAAAACAGCGAGACACGTCAGAAATGTTTTGTAGGATCTGAGCTCGTTGGACGCCGCACTTAAGAGTCACGCGATGTGGCAGAGAAACCTCACTTTCAACCTAGTTCCCAGGATCCTCCTTCTTTCTCCCTCGAAAAAGTACTCTACTTTCTCGAGGGAGGAAGAGAGGACCTTGGGAACGAGATTACATCACTCTAATAAATGGTGAGAAAGTATGTGCCCATGTTACAGTCAAGGGAAGTGTGCTGAACGTTCAGCTTAAAATACCGCCACTTTCAAGACAACTCAGTAACCCGGCTGCATACGCTTGCCATCCCAAAATTCAACTCTGATGGCGAGAACCAAAACTTACGAAAGACAAACATGTCATTAGAATGTCGGTACATGTCGTTAGAATGGCAGGCAGCTAGTTTTCAAGTCCTCGGCAGTCTCATGTTCCACGGGAGATGCGGATTGCCCATGGAAAATTTTAAGTTCTAGAGTCTTTCTGTGGCATTTGCGACAAGACGAAAAGCATCTTTCTTTCTAAGGAAAACTACCGGCCCATAACTCTCTTACCATGTGTAAGTAAAGTTCTTGAG